AAAATCACTCAACCACAAAATTACGAATATTTTAATTTTTCAAATTGGAATTTATACTTCTGAGAGATAAAATGCTTCAGTGTTAATCACTATACTGATTACCATCTATACCCAGATTAATAATACACTGTTTTATATCAGTATATTTATCAATCTTTCTTGGCTTATGCTTTCCTTTCGAATATCAGTATCTTCCATGGCCCCAGAAATTTGAATTTGTAAGAAATGCATATAGTTGTTTTATTATACTCTTATTTATTTATAATAAGTGTATAGACATTTTCACAACAGTTGTCCCAAAAGTTAGGCGTTGAGCAACTAAAATACCTTGATCCAGAGATGTGATTATCGATTATCGATAAATTATCGATACCTTATCGTATGTCACTATAAATCTACGTTTATCGATCATTTTAATAACAACTATACCTCTACCTAGATATATACAACTATTTAAAGAAATAAATGTGTATTGGGCTGTAAATTCAGAACCGTTAACTCAAAAATAAAGATAAGAAAAAAGTTTTTTCCAAAACTAACCAATTATTTACACATTAAGACAAAATATAAAATAAATGAATTTTGAATTTTACAAAAAAATGTCACTCGTTTTCGAATTCGCATTGCGGAAATCAATGTTGAAAGCGGGGTTTTGTCCCTCAAATTTGAATATATTTTATGTATATCCTTTTTCCCAAAAGAGTCCACAATTATCCTAGTGATTATAAAAATAGCCTAATTTTCGATTCGAAGTGTTAAAAACGTCAAAAGCATAAAACCCAGCCTAGAAATCAAATTATAATTTATGACAAACAGAAATACAAAATATATAACAAAATTATCTCTTTCAGATTTCACAATTTTACAGTCGTAAAATAAAACATTGCATGTCATGTATCTTCATTTTTTCATTTTTCCATTTAAAATTCCGAATACTAATTCTTATTACCATTCAGTGGAATTACACAATTCTTTGTAAAAAACGTAAGGTTTATTTTTATTTGCATTTAGTGATAAGTATGCAAATGATAAGTACGTTTTGCAAGTCAATAAACGAATAAATTAGAATTTTTCCAAATTTTGACGTTTATTGTTAGTCGTAGAGTTAGCGCAGTTGGAATCAATCCAATAACTGGTAAATACCTATTCCACGTGCTATAGTACGTTATTCTTTGTTTCCAGCTGACTCACTAAGTGGACCCTAGAGAACTGAATGAAGCGTCTCTTGTGTGGAATCCACGTGACTTTCATTTATAACTACCCAGCTTCGAAACCGACATCTGCATATTGGAGCGCCGCGTTCACAGTCACAAGGTGTTCTCTTCTCTGCCTAAACGCACGAACCCGATCTCCGCTGCGGGAAAAGAAAGGAATTTCAACTGATTTGTGGATTAAAAAGAATGATTCTCGCAGAGAAAAATCCCTGGAGGTTTAAAGTGCCATTAATCGTTGATTACCTCTCGTTCGAAATTCATTGGATCGCCGTGGCGTTTTAGACGTTGGAACCGGAAGCCTCCATCTTGGCCGCAGTTATAAACGGTTCACCTATTCGGGAAAGTTTAGTCTGCCGAGTAATCAGTATATAAACGAAGGAATCGAAGAAGGTGGTAAACTTATCGGGTCAAGTGTACAAGTGTGAATGATATTGGGTGGTGTGATGAATATCAACTAAATAAATAATACATGTATTTTACGTGTCGAGTGACTCAGCACAGAGTCACATAACGTAGATAAGGAAAGTGAAGTACTATACTTAATGTATTTCGTAATTTCTATCGAAGATATCTGTTGAAATTGTATGACATGAAGACTGAAGAAAGTGGAAAGTGACGAACTTCAGGTTATCGAGTCACGTAGTTTAGACGTTGAGGTTAGACAGTTCCATTACTCCTGGATTTCATTCAACATGGCGCCACCTGAGGGGTATGTTCAGAATCATATTGTACAATTTTAATTCGAGTTATCATAAAATCAATTACTAATGAATCATTCGAATAATTATTCGACGAGAATAATAAAATAACGAGACTTCAAGCTTCAAGGTATATGTATGATTCTTGATTTCTTTCCATAAATATATAATAATATATTTAAATATTTAACGATATATTGAATAATATTTAATATTTAATAATATATTTAAATTATAAATTTCCATGGTGAAACAGTATTTTCTATAACTTTCAAATTAGTTAACCATATTTTTACTTAGTATAATGTGATAGATTTTTAAACATTTTTCTAGACGAAGCTGAACTTTGAGAGGTTAATTTCTCTGATTCTCATCGAAAAATTATTATGCATCAAAATTCTGTTATCAGAAAGGATGGCCTTTTATCAATTTACGGTGCAAATTTATACAAACAAAGTAAAGAATATACTGGGTGATTCAATAAGAATGTTTTAATGTGTAATAAATTATTACATTAAAAGGTCCTCGTCACATGAATTATCTTTTGTGTATTTATGCTTTTTGGGGGATATCAAAGTGATCTTAAGATTTTTTTGCTTTCTTTTAATATTTTACTATAGTAGTACTATAGTATAGTAGTACTACTATAATATCACTGTAGTAAAATATGAAAGGAAAACTATATAGACTATAGTAATACTATAGTGGTTGTACTATATAGTATATATAGTATATATTACTACTATAGTAGTACTGTAATATTGCTATAGTAAAATATTAAAATATATTTATATAGTAGTAGTACTATAGTAATACTGTTAATAATAATCTGATTTTGTTCCGTCGTGGAACAAGGAAGACTCCTTACAACAGCAACAGACGGTCTTCCAACAGCCAGCTCTTAGGGTCAAACAATTCGGCATAGGAATTTTCCTCTCCATGCCTTCAGCATTTTTGAATGCTTTACCTTTTTTCTTTCACTTCTCGTGTCGCGGAACACGAGAATCCTGGAAATCCCTATTTAACGAAATTAGGCGACGGCTCTTAAGACTTGGCTGACAATAGGCCTGAGGGCTCCACGTGGTCCGCACACGTTGGAAGCCTCAGGCCCTCGCTAGGGGTAATAAACGACCGATGGGGTGACCAGCGCGCGGGTGGACCCCACGTACCCCACCTTGGAGGAGAGGGTTTCCTCCACTATTGGTTACTTTTTGGGGAACCTTCCCTTTCTCCAAGGTCACCTATTCGCGGACCAAGGGAACGCCCTTGGTCAAAACAGCCAATTACATTTGGCGAGCTCCCGATTTTTCCTAAGACCGATCTTAGGAAGATCGAGGAGCTCACATTCTTTCGACACTTCAGAGACACCAGTTCTTTTGAAACAGTTCCAATACTCAGAGACACCGGTTCTCTCAAAATCAACGAGACGCTACGTTTGCTTCGAAACGTCGAAGACACGGCTCCTTTACGCTCGTGCAACTTAAACAGTCGCCCAAGATTAATTTGGCGGGAAACACGTGTCGTAGTCGCGAGACGAACGTACAACCCGTCGAAATTACGATAATTCGATCGCGACGCGACAGACTTATTTTTCATGCTCGTATACATTTATATTTACGATGCAAACGTAAAGTTCGATTGAAATCATAGCAATCCATCGCTGTAATATTTCTGAGTTCGTCATAAGTCCTCGAATTGATCTCCTTATCGATTACAACTGTTGGGAATTTCGTGGAGAAAATAGCCAAACGTACAGGGAAATAACTGTATTCAGTTATATAGCAATCTTTAGGTCTATTATACGATATATAATTAAAGCGTGTGAGTCTTTTTGAATACCACTATAGGTCACAATGTATGAACTAGTCGTTCTGTTTCTAACTTGGGAGTGAGGAGCTCTGAGGGACGGCAGGCCCTTTTAAACCCTCAAAAACGACCCCTTGAAGTCCAAAGGTTTTGGTAATGCCCTGCAACCTTCGTCATCGTTGCATGGACGTAGCTGACTTCCAACAACAACACTATTTTTAAAAAAAAAAGTATTGGTTTTAAGGAAACTCAAGGTCATTTTCTTTCATCGAGCACCACATACAAATTTCTAACTTTATTTATTTTACTTGCTAACTTTACTTCCTCCTGTTAATTCCATTAACCCTTTGCGGTCGGAAGACGACTCTCGGTCGCCACGGCGTATCGCGTGGCAGGTCAAGTGGCGAGTGAGAGGCGCCAATCGGTGTTTGTTTTTTATTCTTAAAGATGTAAATATAGATAAACTGTCAAAATATATCATTTTTGTACGATAATTTATGTATAAGATCATTTTATTGTACATGTAATGCGCCCCACACATTCGCGAAAATCGCTATGACTTGCCACCTCGCTCGGCCGAAAAAGTCGCCGACCGCAAAGGGTTAAATATACATTACCGTGTCTAATATATTCCCATATAGACACGATATCACAAAGTCTTTTAGTGTTACAAAAATCAAAGTCGTCGTCCAGAGGTTAATAAGGAAACGAAATTTGGACTCTCTTAAGTCACGCGTCATTTAACTTTAGACATCTTGAACGTATAATTTAATTACATTTTTACTACACTTTAGTTAACATTATTACTACAATATGTGTATATGCACAGAAGTTTCATTATTTCTTAGCATAAGTTCCATGAATTTTACAACATGTGAGCTTTGTAATCAAGTATAAATTTTCAGCCGATAATTGTAGGTTGCTTATGCAAATCGCTATGCAGATAAGGAACACAAACAATTATGCAGACGTTATGTAAATCTCTGATATCTTTTATAGACTCGGTGAACGTTATTTCATTTCGTAAATCATTAAAAACAACGGTACCCTGTTTGGACTGCTCAAGAGTCGTTGCATCGCTGATTTGCATACCACCGTATCGTGGAATCCTTTCCAATTGTCTCGACGAATAAACAAAATATAAAGAAACAAGTCAGAAATGGGACAATTAATATTTACTGTTTACTAAACAATATTCGATATATTCAAAACGTACAAGTTTTGCATATTTTTGTATATTTCCATCCAGATTTGCGTGACTTTACATATTTTTGCATGCTTCGTCGCGTCCAATTGTAGTAAGCATAAGTGAGTCGAAATCTGGTCTCTTTCACGACAACGTTATTTCAATTCCAACGAGAATCTTTTCATCTTCTCATCTTTTCATCTTTCTGTTTTATTTATCTTTTCTATAGGTTACTTTCGCTTTATTTTCACTATAGGTTACAGCCAAGGTGTTATAGTAATTTATGCCTTTTTTATACAATGGAATGTCCATTATTGAAGGCTGTAGTAATCAAATGACTCGAATATTCCACCATCCAAATGTTCGAATTATTCAAATAGTATATTTTCTTCATTACATTAGTATGAAGTGGGCATTATAGGTGTGAACGCTTTTGGTGTAATGGAATCGATGAGGCTATATATATGACAGTGATTCTGATTATAGTGAGATGTATGTTCTAAAACTTGGAAAATGGTAAATTTACCATTAAAGTTGAAAAATTGTGCAAGGATAATAACACTTGTACTTTAATATATATGTAGGATGGCGAAAACTGGTTTTGAGACACCAAAAATTGACAAAACAGCAAGAACAGAATAACACAAACTCAAAACTCATAAAACTAATTTAACTTAGGAAAAGAACACTAAGATAACGAAACGAAAACGCACAAAGACGCACTCTAATTTAACTTTCTTTCCAACATCGAGCGACTCACGCCCGTGCTGGTCAAAATTGATTTCTAAGGACTCCGTTTTGGTCGTCAAGGGCCCTGCTTTTATGCTTTTCATAACCTACGCTTCACCTCCCCGTAGGGACCAGGCAAGTTAATTTTGTTACCCAAAATAACTTTTACATTTGCTTCTAGAAAATATTATTCGGTTTATAATTTGTTTTTGTTGGCAATGGCCGATTCGCGAGTACTTTGGAAATGGTACCCTACATTATTTTCTATAAAATTTCATAAAGTGAGTGGTCCTTATGTTATCTATGAATAAATGCATTGTAAAATATTGGCATATCTATAGTTAAGGACAACAAAAAATTAATATAATTAATGCGTAACTATATAAGTGCCTACTGTATTAAAATACAATTAATATAGTTATGTTAAACAGTTAATGCTAATCCTGTATCTACGTCAATGCTTTATTACTCGATTCCTCTTCGTTTTCTTTGTCACGTGGTACTATGTATAATGACCTAATTTTGAGTTATTTGAAACTATTATGACCCAATTTGTAACTATATCTAACACTTCCAGTTAATAAAGAAAATTCGTGTGATCTACCTTTGTAATTCTGTTGGAAGATTTGATCTACTGCGATCCTTAAACTTTCAAATTCTTTTTGATCACCCTGTATATTTCGTATTTCAATCCTTTGCACTCAATGACCTTTTCGCTGTATAGAAATGGCAATTCTAAAATTTTCTTTCTTAAAATCATTAAAATCATTAAATTATCATTAAAAATGATATTTTTGGTAATACCATAGATGGAAATGACGTATAATTTTTACTATAAAATTGTTTTATTTCATTATTCCATGATTTCGCGCAACACAATGTATTTTTGGAACCTAATTATTGTGTTATATGATGGTTATCTATATATATATATAAATACAACGTACATAGTTAATAATAATTAAAGTAATACTATGGGGACAAATAGGTATACAAATATTATACATATATACATACTCAACTCATACATGATTATGTGTATAGGTGAATTTATCGATATACTAAGTTCTCGTTAACTTCAGCGAACTTAAAATATGTTATAAAGGACAATATTTTGCGCAACTTTTTACTCTGCCAATTATTGGCCAGCCTTTGTTCCAGAGATATTAATAAAATTCTTTCGGTATTGCTACATTGGATTATAACCACACACGTGTGTATCTTAGATGTGTGCAAATTCTAAGCACATTTAATTAAACATCCCTTACATTCGATCCTCTTGCACGCGGTCACTTTCGTTGTAAGCCCGAACACTCTTGACATTTTTTCAAGGCCGTACCTATTCCTTTCCTACATATATACGCTCTCATAAGTCCATCAATATATACGAAAGACGTATATATACGCTCTCATAAGTCCATCAATATGTACAAAAGGCGTAAATATACGCCGTTTGTATTTTTGTCCTATAACACCTTCCCTATTTTACCGATTGATTCAACATGGAATTTATCGTCCTATGTAATATAGTAACTAAACTATCCGCAATTGTTTCAAAGTATTTTTCAGTGCATTGTCATCATGATTATTAAATTGTTTCTATTATCTTTTTATTATCTTTATTCGTTCATTATGTTAAAATTGTTTGTCGTCGTTATGTTAAAACGAATTTGTTCCTCATTATCAATTTCAGACTTTTTCTTTTATATTATTTATCCACTATTATTGAAGAAATCTGCAAGTTGAATAAAGTAAATTAAGATAGCTTAAAAAGATACTTAAAATGAATAAGAAATGGATATTTTTAATTTATCTGCAATCACTGTTTTTTAAATCCTAAGAATGCTATCAAAGCTACGGATACTGTTTTGGTCACTGGTCTACGCAGCGCAGCAACTGACGTTCGAATAACCTAACCTAATCTAACCTAACCTAATAATTCTATTGTTAGAAATATTTTCACTATCTTTAGATGCTTTATTCCCAAAGTAATGGCATGGATTACTCATTTAAAAAAGTGAAGCTTCACCTTCGTTTCTCGAAAAATATTAAAAATACGAAACATCGAAATATGCTGTCAGATCGTGAGTAAAATATGCTATAGATTTTTCCTCCTCCATTTTTCTCTAATGTTTATCGTTTACGAGAAAAACGCTGGTACAAATGATCGTGAACACCCTGTATAAAGATCTATAAGGATTTATAAAAATAAATATCGCGTGATAAGAATGTTATCAATTTATTAATGAAATAAAAATGACTGAAACTATATTTTTAATCGAGTTTCACATTTCTCTACGTGCTTCTTCCAATCGTTTTATTTTAGGGAAGAACGTCATTCGATGCTGGAGTATAACCTAGCTGATTATGCAGAGGTGATACAAGTTGAAAATGTCTGTGAGGACATTGAAAATAACAATACTCGAGATAAAGACAACAATTTCGACGATAATCGTGATGTAATACCAGTACACTATTCATCAAATTCCAAAGGTATTTTTGCACAGGTAAGAATAAAAAAATTGTATTATTTAAAAGGTACGATAAATAGGAACAATTGAAATAAAAGTATTTAGAACATAAATTAAATAGAAGAACCTCCAAAATAAAAGAAGGTTCTGTTTAAAAATAAAGGTATAACTCCGTAGATATTTCAAAATATAAACAAGTAGTTCCTATAAATTGCATAAATAGAGTGATATTATTTTTATATTAAATAATATTAAAATTCTTTATTTTAAGAATACGTTATAATTTTTTAATTGATTTGGAAATGGCACATTTCATTTTTGAAACAAAGTTAATAAAAAGACGTTGCCATTACCAAAATATTCACAAAAAAATTTTTCAAAAGAAATGTTCCTTACATTTTGAAATAAACAATAATTTATAGACTAACATTTAATTTCTAAATATTTGTTTCATGATATAACAAAAAATGAGGTCTAATAAAAAAAGATAATCACATGTTCATCGAAATTCAGGAAAAAATATATACACACGAGTTTGGTTGTATCTAATTTATTCTACTGTAATTTTTAAATTATTATATAAGGAATATCTTATAACACTAAAAAGAAAATTCACATTTTGCGTGATTTTGTAAATTTTTTACCAGTAAAGATATCGAAGATATAAAAATATTTATCAGTAAGAAAAAGAAAAAAACTTCTGAATGCTATAAAATTTTCTAAAATATTTTTCCATAAGTATTATAAGTACTTTAGGATATTGGAAATTCATAAATTTATATTATTATTCTCAGTGCTTAGTATCTGGTGCAGTTCTATTATTAGCAGCCGGTGGAGGGATGCCAATTGGTTTCAGTGCCATTTTGTTACCACAATTGGCTGAAGATAATGGCACGATGCACGCTGATCGGGAACTTGGATCCTGGATAGGTATGTAAACGTTTTCAAATCAATCATTATATTTCGAGCTGAAAAAGTTCCAAATTTGAAACCTTAATACTAATAATGATAATAACAATAAACAATAATATTTCTCCAAATTTATGGTATTCAAATTTAAACACAATTTAAGCTTTCTCTGGTTTTATGAATTTGACGTTTAAAGATAAATTAACGACAGTCATAAATTCTTATAGACCACGTTAAATTTTGCTTTACGTTACTTATTATAAGAAAATTATACATACAAAACACGTTAATGCTTTTATCGTTATTTGATGACATATTTATGCTACAATAAATTTCGAAACATAATGCTCGAGATTATTCTTGATTATAGTATCAGGAAATGAGTTTCGTTCATGTTCTTGATAACAGAGCTCGAAATTAAATTTTTTGCACAGATAATACATATTTTTCAATTGTTTAATACAATATAAAAATAAGAATAATATATACATACCGTAAAAATGTAACGTATATTTCAATAATAACGTGTATTTTACAATTCTTTTACACAATGTAAAAATTGTATGTAATTAAAAATAATAATAATATTATTTATAAAATCATATTAATCACAATTTTATATGATATGATTTTATATCAAATTATAAAAATTATTATAAAATCATAAAGTTTTTTACAATAAGATGCCAAAATACTATACAATAATGATAATAATAACAATACTGTATACAGTGTAAAACATAAACCACTTTTCTTAATAAAATTTATATATTAGAAAATAAATAATTTCATTCTAATAATTTATACGTAAACCTTAATGAATAAATTTTGTATCTACATTGTTTTTAAATTTTGCGTTAATAATTATCCTTAATAAAATTATAAACTGTTATACATTGCAAACGAATTTTTGTTAACGTTACTGTAAAAATTTTATTTCTCGCGTTCACAAATTTCCACCATTTTCGTAAACTTCCATTTATTATTTTGGCTATACCAAAAATAATAAATCGATTTTAATATCGATCGAATTTTCCCAAAAATTATTTTCACACGACATACCAATCATTACACATTATATTACAAACCAAGATCTCAAAACAAATTTTATTTAATTTCGAAAAAATATTTGTTACATCAGAGATTCAAGTGTCGAAGGTTAACTAAGTTTTCGTAAATAGGATTTCTAAATATCGCTCATCAAAATATTACGTACATATGTTAATTTAGCAATCAAAGATTACTTGAATTTATTGCTTTCGTTTCTAAGCGAATCGCGTTTGAAATCACGCGAAAAGGTTCAAGAACCAGCAGGCAAGTTCAAGGATACTTCACGATCACTATAGTACACGCCGTCAATCAGACACTATTTTCATTGCGTCGCATGTTGTGACTGACCTACATTCCGTCTGATTGGATAATTTTTATCAATGAGAGTCAAGGCCAAGTGTAACCACCAAGGATGTTACCTTGTTATTCAGATGTGCTTTTTAAGTGCCGGAACATCCTTGCGCAACAATCGAGAAGCGCTTCGCGACTTAAATCCTATGGGGACGATAACGCTTTTATTCTCACGAAAAAGCCAACGAGTGTACCACTGAAACGACATGTGCTTTCCCTTTGTTTCCATCTTCATATACGGTACCTTGTTTCTAAATTGCTTTATCAGTTTCCTTTTCTCTCCTGTTTTTTCACTTTTTTTAAAATTTCTGTTATCTGTAATATAATAACGTGAAAGAGGAAGGGGTGGGGGCTTTGTTAATTTGAGGTTATGTGTGTCTCACAATGAGTATATAATTAATGTACTTTCTATTATACTGAATATCAGATTTTATATTATTTTTAATATTTTTCTTTTACAAATGAACAAAGTTTTGATAACACAGAGTTAATCATATTTTTATTAAAGAAATTTGTTAGGTAAAAATTTTAAAAATATTTGTTTCA